GTTGGTTAGCAGGCTTTAGCAGGTTAAGCTGAAAGAGAATCTCTTAGTGCCCGCAGGGCGGAAAGAGTTAAAAAAAAAACACATACTTAGATTCTCCACGTTAAATGTAAGCGTACAGACGAGCGCTTATTAATCCTTGATTTAGAAGATTTTATATTTCACAGAATAAACAAATGCTTATTTGTTTATTCTGTGAAATATATCCGAAGCGCATAAGCAAGGATATACAGAAGGCAAAATTACATTTGAAGATTTTAATAAAAGAATTATCTCAAATATCCTAATTTTGTTTTACTAATAAATTTTATTTGTTTTATTAATACAGTAATAATTTTTCTCAAATTTTGTATTTTTCTGTACAATGAAATAAAATAATTAAATCATATTTTCTATACATTCACATAAGTATTTCATTTGAATGTATACAAAATATGATTTTATGACAGACGATATATTGCTTTTCAAGTCTGGCAACACGAAATTCGATGCTGTTGATAGTTGTTTACATCTTGCACGCAATTGGAAGATTACATGGCAAGTGTGCTTATTTTGTCTAATTCGTTTAATAAAGATTATTTAGATTCATTCAGAAATATATTATATTGCTAACTTATATTTTCACGAGAAATTTAATATTTCGTATACAAAATGAATGTTACACATTAGCGAGGTTGAGGCCGAAGTTTTCAACGCGAAAATGTATGTCGGACGTTCAGCGCCGTCTTCCTGTAAGCCTAGAAGTTTGACAATGGCGTTTGAAACGTCAGTGGAATCATGCTCGACGTTCCAAACGCTATTGTCAAACTTCTAGGCTTACAGGAAGGCGGCACTGAGCGTCCGACATATACGTTTTCGCGTTGAAAGCTTCTAACCTCGCTATTATATTAATGTCAATGACTGCCTTTAGGACATATTAAACTTATCACTTTTCTATTCCTTGTGACTGGTGGAAGCTTATACAGGTAAGATTTTACCTATGAGCACCGTCTTGGCTCCCAACAGACTCCTCCCAGAGGGGAGCCTCCAATTGTATAAAGTCACTAGTTATTGATTCACAGTAGTTCTTGAACACACGAAGGAGTCCGTCAGCAGCACAAACAGTCGTGACCGGAAGTGCAGCCATGATGGTGCACGTAGATAAAATCTTACCAACAAAACTGTACTAAAGAACTTGTTTTGCTCCTTGCTCACAATTTAGTCTTTAAGTAAGAAAATTAATACAACTAGAAATTATTAATAATTTATGTCCAAAAAGTAAAGATACATTGCATATAAGCAGAAAGCTAATGTTTTAGTGCATATATTGACAACAGTGAATTTGTCTGGAAGCTTTCATGCTCTTTTTGCAGTCGTTTGTCATTGCCATTCTGAATCTGGTTCAAGTGGCCGCTTCGATTCGGAATCCTGCTAAATGTGAAGTGTGCTCTGTCATACATTTTGTCAATGCAAAAGGTGAGTGCCCAGCAGATATTCATAAACAAATTTTTTATGTTTATGGGAACATTATGAATCGACAAAATGTAAGAAAGTGGTGCTGTGCATTCTCTGGAGGTAGGACTGATGTTTGTGACAAACATGGGAGTGATAGGCCATCCGTGATCTCTGATTAATTTCTTCGAATAACTGAGAAAGCAATTAGTGCAAATTGGTGATTTACAATAAGAGAATTGCATGAAATCATTCCGGAAATGTCTAAGTCCATGCTTCATGAAGCTGTGACTGTAACATTAGGGTACAGGAAATTGTGCACGTGCTGAGTACCCAAAATGTTGACAGACAGACATAAAACAAAATGGATAGGTTTTGCACTCAACTTCACGTGCTATGCACATGCAGGAGATGAGTTTCTTGACTACATTGTGACAGGTGATATAACTTGGTTTAACTATTTTACTCCTGAATCCAAGCAACAATCACTGCAATGGCGCCACACACGTTCCAAAAATCTGAAAAACTTCAATTTCAGCAAAAAAAAAAATTAAAAAGACATTCTTATGATTGACTTAATGTCTCCTGGCACCACAATTAATGCTGCTACATATTACCAAACCTTGTAACACTTTCAACAGTCCATTCAAAATAAACAGAGGTGAATGTTTCATGACAATACTCTGGCTTACACAGCAATTGTCACCAAAACATTTCTCAAATGATTCAAGTGGGATGTTTTTAACCATTTGCCATACAGCCCAGAACTTTCTCCCAGTGATTTCCACTTGTTTCTTTATCTGAAGAAACATCTTGCAGGATAACACTTCCACAACAATAATGAGATCAAAAATGAAGTTGAAGCAAGTGGTAGAATTCTAAAACTCTGGGATACAGAAGCTAATATCCTCACTTAACAAGTGTTTGGACAATGGCAGAAATTACATAGAAAAATATGTACCAGTTAATAAGGTGTAGAAACATTTGGTCAAATAAACTGCAGGTAAATAGCACATGTTCGGTGAGAACCTCACAGGTCACCACATAGGTTTTATAAGAAGTAAAGCCGAATTCCTTGAAATGTAGCCCAAATTATTTTTAAAGTGGCCCAAAACGTAGTAGCCTAGATCCCTACAAATATCTTAGTCTCCTACTTGTAGCTCAATCTTGAAACCCAGCTGTATTTTATGAGATAAGAGGGGAAAAAAGTGTATTCTATGGGTAAGGTGACACTCAGAAATGTGTTACTGTAAGAGCAAAGTCATATTGAACAGATTAGAGTTGTTCTTGGTCTACTGTTTTCTTATAACATGGAGGCACTTCTTTCTAATGGATTCACACAATCCAAGGTGCATGCGTGACTTGGATTGTGTGAATCCATTCGAACCTACAACTCAAATTCAAGCTTTAAACGACATGATTGAACGGATTTCTACGTCTAACGGATATCAAATGTCTTTATAGAAACTGATTTGAACCTGAAGCAGAGCCCAGAAGGGGTTCGAAAACGTTTGTTTACCAATCTTTTGCATGATCGCACCGTAAATGGTTCAGGTGTGTAAATTTTTTAGTCATTCCGGTGCGATGAATAGTGAATTTATTTTCTATCTAAATGAACAAGTTAACTTATGCATATCTCAATTCAGACAGAATTTTCACTTTGAATTACAAAGTAGCTGTATTTCAAACTAATTGAATTCCTAACGTGTAAATCTCTATATCCGTGGCTGGGACAAATAGTAGTTATGAACTAACGGAATTTTGAACTATCCGAATTCAAATTAACAAGGATTTTCCGTATTCACTGTAGTGAGTGGCATTTGGTAATTCTACATGTTTGGAATATTGGAAGTTAGCAAAACAGAATTTGCTGGTTTGAGTGTCAGATTTAGTGACACTAGAAGTGTGTTAACATAACTATTTTATGCAATTAAAAACAAATCTTTGTAGTTCCAGCAACAAATTTATTAAAATAAAAATGTTTTTGATCCTAAATACAAAATTGATAAGAACTTCTGTAATACTGTGTTGGTAGCCTATGCTTATCATCTGGACATACAAATAAATTGGGATCAAGTGAAAGTCATCAAAGCTAACTCTAATACACAGTCTAGGTTATCTAGAGAAGTTGGAAATTTATAAGGCTCATAGAAGATTTATATGCATCAATCATTTTCATACCAACAGTCTTTTCAATGCATGGTGGTCACTTTTTGAGATTTAATTATTTATGCTCTCTTTGATTAGTTATCTATCTTTATTTGTATTTCATCATATGTATTTATTTATATACTATATTTACTCACATATAAGACAAGGTTTTTATTAATTTTTCACCGCTTAAAAAGCCTAGGTTATCCTATACGCGCAAATGAAGGATTCTTTGTGTTTTGGAAACAATTTTTACGAACCATGTATTCGCATTTTTTACCAGATGCTCACCCTCTTGTGTTTAAAAACAAAAGTATTTTATCTGGGTCATTTGAATCATTCTTGTGTATTGTCAGGAGTAAAGATGAATAGCAATAGGAACAACAAAGCCTTTGAATTGGATTCCAAATTGAAATTCCAAAATCACACAGGAGCCCTATATAAGTTTTAATCCATTCCTAGGTGAAAACAGATGATTATTTGGCAATCAGAGTGTAGAGAAACTCATAAGTGTAATTGACGGAGAGTGGATTTGACTGTTAAGCATTGGCAAAAAAGGTTCCCGATTGTCCAACTTTACATGAATAAATTATGTTGTTGATTTTACAAAATTTTTCCTTAAAGTTTAAAATGCCAGTAATTTTTGTGGGACAATGTGTGCATTTATGTTCATTTAATATTTCAATTCAAATGTTCTATTTTTACTTTCCCAGCTGTTATGTATAACAGAGGGAAAATACGGCAATCAGTCAAAAAAAACGAACCCTCCAAGATTTTTACATTTTTGGACTCAGGACCTCAAAACATTGAGAAATGCAAAAAAAAAAAAGTTGGGGTTTTTCTGTATTTATGAATGTTAGTGTGTAGCTACACACCAACCGAATGCCGAAAATCTATCGGGCTAGTATAAGGCTAATTATTAGATAGATTTTCGGCATTCTGTTGGTGTGTAGCTATATTATATATCGGATTTAGCGATGTTTGTATATGTTAGTGTGTATGTGGGGGGCACAATTTTGAAGCTTAATAATTCCTGTGCATTTTGTTGAAAATTTCTAAAATTTTGCAAGGAGGTTGTGTATTAGGGGATTGATGTTATTAAATTTTGGTGGTTAAAGGTAAAGGGGTGGAGAGATAAAGGGAGTCATGCCTCATATCTTGAGTGGGACTAGACTTAATGGAAAATTTTATCCTTTATTAGCCTTCTTTACAATTTTTTATAAAACTCATCTCTACCTTCAAAATTCAGCTTTTTGCTATTTTATAATAATTAATAATATAAAAAGTTTTAGAATAAAATATCATAACAGATGGCACCATACAAATTTTAAATTTTTTTGTAGGGAAAGTTACACAACTTGTTGCTGGATTTTTTAAATTGTATATCTTGAGTTATTTTATTTGAAGTTTCTGTAACTGAAGATCAGTCAAACTGATCAAAAATGTTTTTATTTCAATAAATACATTGCTGTAATTATGAAAGTTAGTTTTTATTTGCATGAAAATTTTTTCCCAGTTGCATTCCATTTGGATACTAACCATTTGCCATCTACCAAAGCATAAATCTGTGCATGAGTCCTGCATAAAACAAGACTTACTGTACATCATTTTCATACATTGTTGGTCAGTAGATGATATGAAATTTTTATGTAATTTGAAAAGAAAGGACTAAACTTGGAATCTTATTTATTCAATAGTCAATATCCATTGTTATCCTGTTATTTTTACTGTTAGACATTTATTTTTTATTCCATCATGGGTTTGGCAGACTTGCATTGGGTTTGCAGACTTACAGGGGTATCTGAATGATGAGAGGCAAAGCCTGTTCGGGTGAAATCACTCATGAAAATTTCTAATGATGTGAACCGATTTGAAAGATTAGTCTTCCTCGAAGTGGCAGGCTGATATCTTTACAGCTTGGACATAAGGTCATCAATAAACCATTATCTTTGAAAAAGAATGCTTTTGCTATTCCACTTAATTTTTTAAATTTCATACTGCTATAAATATTCTTTCATTAGTTGCATTTTCCAATCTCCAGTATTTTACATTCTGTTTGTTTATGTAACTTGATAAAATGGAATATTTTTCATTATTGGGTAACAAGATTAAAGAATTAATATATAATCATTAAAACTAATATAATGTATTTACTTAAATAATGTGTATCCCAATTTTAAGAATTTTGAGATAAAAAAAATCTGTTGACAAATATATGCTTATACAGAACAAGTGTACCATTTACTGTGCAATTACATGAAAAAAACTAACTAAAATAAAGAAACATGACATTTAAGGGATAATGAGATAAACCATTGTTTGTGAAGGCTAGAGAAGAGAAATAATAGGATTTATCATACATAAGGAAAGAGATACGTAATAGCAACATATCAAGGCAAGAACAATAAGTGAAGTTTTTAAGTTTTACTTTGAATCTAGTGTGCCATAATTTTGGAATCAAAATTTGGACAAGCAAAGGTGTGCATTAATTTTGAATAAATATAATAATTATATTTTAATTAAAATGGCAGATGATATTTTTATAATAATTATAATTTGAAAAATTCATATTCAATTTTAATCTTTCTCCATTCATTGAAACCAATAAAGTTTAATAAACCAAACGATTGCCGTAATTAATCAGGATAATTAAGTGCTGTATTAACGATTAACTATTATGTAAAAAAATATCACATCAGCAACGTATATATTCGGAGAATGCACAGGAATTGGACCAAGTCGAGGACGGCCGTCTTGAAGAAATAGAGTGTATCGCCATCACATACAATCCGTACTTAAAATCTCTATACGCTAAGCTTGCCAGCAAACGTCAGCTACGTCTAGCTTTTAGGAGGTGTCCCACCATCTTCAACCTCTTACGTAATGGAAAGGACCCTCCTAACCCCATCAGATGCCCTGGAATCTATAGTATCCCTGTGAAGGACAACAGGTGCGATAGGAACCTGATTTATATAAGCTCCACCAAACGATCTTTGGGAGTCAGAATACAAGAGCATCTAGCCGATATTCGGCACGGAAGAACGTCCACGGCCCTCGCTACGTGTGTAACCGATCCAGATATAGTAGCGAACTTCTCACAGGCCATTCTCCTCCACGATTCGCCTCCTATTGAACACCTCAAATGGCTAGAGGCTATGCACATATTTATATCCTCCACCACCAACACGTGCATAAATTTTAAAGAGGAGATGCTGTTATCGATGGCCTGGCAGGAGTTAATTCACAACACGCTCTAATTCGCCCATCAAACTATGACGGGTAACCAATCGCGCATGCGCGACTTGGATTACGTGAATCCATTCGAACCTACAACTTAAATTTCAAGCTTTAAACGACATGAACGATCGAATTTCTACTNTTTTATTTTGCGCTAATGCAAGTGGTGACCTCAAAATCAAGCCACTTTTAGTATACAATAATGAAAATCCCCGTGCCTTTAAGAGCAAAAATGTGATAAAGTCCAAACTGCCTGTACAATGGAAGACAAATAGTAAGGCATGAGTAACTCTGACTTTATTCATGGATTGGCTCACAGAAGTGTTTGCTCCTACTGTTAAAAATTATCTTCAGGAAATGGATCTTCCTCTTAGATGTCTTCTCTTAATGGATAATGCTCCAGCACATCCACCAAANCCGTGAAGGACAACAGATGCAATAGGAACCTGATTTATATAAGCTCCACCAAACGATCTTTGGGAGTCAGAATACAAGAGCATCTAGCCGATATTCGGCACGGAAGAACGTCCACGGCCCTCGCTACGTGTGTAACCGATCCAGATATAGTAGCGAACTTCTCACAGGCCATTCTCCTCCACGATTCGCCTCCTATTGAACACCTCAAATGGCTAGAGGCTATGCACATATTTATATCCTCCACCACCAACACGTGCGTAAATTTTAAAGAGGAGATGCTGTTATCGATGGCCTGGCAGGAATTAATTCACAACACGCTCTAATTCACTCATCAAACTCTGACGGGCGAACTGGTTGCGCATGCGCGACTTGGATTGTGTGAATCCATTCGAACCTGCAATTCGAACTCAAGCTTTAAACGACATGATCGAACGACATACTTCTAACGGATATCAAACGTCTTTATAGAAACTGAATGGAACCTGAAGCAGAGCCCAGAAGGGGTTCGAAAACTTTTGTTTACCAATCTTTTGCATGATCACACCGTAAATGGTTCAGGTGTGTAAATTTTTTAACTATTATGTAATTTGGTATTATTAGGGGTAAGTGTTAGGTGCCATCTCTCATTAAATTTAATAATTATAATTTGAAAAATTCATATTCAATTTTAATCTTTCTCCATTCATTGAAACCAATAAAGTTTAATAAACCAAACGATTGCCGTAATTAATCAGGATAATTAAGTGCTGTATTAACGATTAACTATTATGTAAAAAAATATCACATCAGCAACGTATATATTCGGAGAATGCACAGGAATTGGACCAAGTCGAGGACGGCCGTCTTGAAGAAATAGAGTGTATCGCCATCACATACAATCCGTACTTAAAATCTCTATACGCTAAGCTTGCCAGCAAACGTCAGCTACGTCTAGCTTTTAGGAGGTGTCCCACCATCTTCAACCTCTTACGTAATGGAAAGGACCCTCCTAACCCCATCAGATGCCCTGGAATCTATAGTATCCCTGTGAAGGACAACAGGTGCGATAGGAACCTGATTTATATAAGCTCCACCAAACGATCTTTGGGAGTCAGAATACAAGAGCATCTAGCCGATATTCGGCACGGAAGAACGTCCACGGCCCTCGCTACGTGTGTAACCGATCCAGATATAGTAGCGAACTTCTCACAGGCCATTCTCCTCCACGATTCGCCTCCTATTGAACACCTCAAATGGCTAGAGGCTATGCACATATTTATATCCTCCACCACCAACACGTGCATAAATTTTAAAGAGGAGATGCTGTTATCGATGGCCTGGCAGGAGTTAATTCACAACACGCTCTAATTCGCCCATCAAACTATGACGGGTAACCAATCGCGCATGCGCGACTTGGATTACGTGAATCCATTCGAACCTACAACTTAAATTTCAAGCTTTAAACGACATGAACGATCGAATTTCTACTTATAACGGACATCGAACGTCTTTAGAAGCTGATTAGAACCTGAAGCAGAACCCAGAAGGGGTTCGAAAACGTTTGTTTTCCGATCTTTTGCATGATCACACCGTAATTGGTTCAGGTGTGTCGATTTTTTGTAGTNTTAAAGAAAGAAATTATTGCAAAATACGAGAATGGCATTCGTGTTTCTGACATAGCTAAAGAATATAATGTGGCAAAATCGACTATCTCTACAATTATTAAAAACAAAAAAGCATTTAAGGCTGCTGAAGTGGCTAAAGGAGTGAATGTGATATTGAAACAAAGATCTAAAGTTTTAGATGAAGTTGAAAAACTGTTGCTAATATGGATCAATCTTGCTGGCGAGTGTTAGTGAAGCTATAATTTGTGAAAAAGCTAAAAATTTATACAATGACTTGTTGACCCAGACACCCAGTACAAGTGGAGACAGGCAGGACTTTAAAGTGAGCCGAGGGTGGTTTGATAGGTTTCGTCGACGAACTGGTATTCACAGTGTCATAAGACATGGGGAGGCTTCAAGTTCAGATGAAAAAGCAGCAAAAGCATTTGTAGATGAATTTGCAGAGCTTGTAAAAAGTGAAGGATACGTCTGGAATCAAGTGTTTAATTGCGACGAGACTGGTCTTTTTTGGAAAAGAATGCCTAGATGAACGTACATAACCCAAGAAGAGAAAGCACTTCCTGGGCACAAGCCATTGAAGGACAGACTCACTCTTTTATTTTGCGCTAATGCAAGTGGTGACCTCAAAATCAAGCCACTTTTAGTCTAATCCCTTTAAGAGCAAAAATGTGATAAAGTCCAAACTGCCTGTACAATGGAAGACAAATAGTAAGGCATGAGTAACTCTGACTTTATTCATGGATTGGCTCACAGAAGTGTTTGCTCCTACTGTTAAAAATTATCTTCAGGAAATGGATCTTCCTCTTAGATGTCTTCTCTTAATGGATAATGCTCCAGCACATCCACCAGATTTGGAGGACAACTTGGATAGTGAACATGACTTCATCAAGGTCAAATTCCTTCCATCCAACACAACTCCATTACTACAACCAATGGATTAGCAAGTGATTTCCAATTTTAAAAAGCCAAGGCACTGTTTACCATGTGTTTTCAGGTTACCAATGATACCGACTTAATTCTTAGAACTTTTTGGAAGGAGCATTTTAACATCCTGCATTATATCAACCTTATTAACAAAGCCTGGAGTGAGATCTCTCACTGCACTTTGCAATCGGCCTGGAGGACACTTTGGCCAACTTGTGTCTCAGAGCGAAACTTTCAGGAATTTGAAGAAGAGAGCTCTCCTGATGTGCATGAAATCGTATCCATTGGCAAGAGTTTGAGAGTAGAGGTAGATGATGCAGATGTGGAGGAGTTGCTGAAAGACCATCAAAAGGAACTAACGACAGAAGAGCTGGTTGCCATGCAGGAAGAACAGATGAAAGTCTTACAAGAAGAGCATTCATCATAGGAAGAGGCTAGGGAAGAAATCACCAGTGCTGAAATCAAGGAAATTTTCAGAAAATGGANTCTAGACTAATTTGACTCGAACATTTCCAAAACATGTATAACTTTTTGGAATAATCCATATAAACTACGCTATAAACAAAAAATTGTAGGGATACTTATCAAGTGTGCATCATTCAAAGACACCATTGCTTAAGCTTGTTTTCATTGCAGAGCAGCTTATCGGATGGCGGTCACGTGTTTCCTGATAAGTTATTCTTTCTGTGAAAAATTTGCTGAACTTTGGAGACATCATTAAGAGAAATATAATTTTTATGGCTGTTGAATAATAATTGTTTTTTAGTAGGTCCACTGCTCGTTTAAACTCAACTGTTTGTGCAATGTCCACTATTGGTCCAGATTTGACCAATCCTGTCGAGACATGAGTCAGCCGTGACAATCTGTCTCATTCTTTTACCATGTTATATACAAGCCTCTTTTAGCGTGTTATACGAACACAATCGCAATTTTTCTGGTGTGTTATATGAATCTGTCTTATATGAACCCATGTTATAGGGTGTCTACTATATTAAATTTAATAAGAGATGGTTAAATAGAGAATGCTTGCTTCTAGTACCAAATTACTTAATAGTTGCTCATTAATACAGCACTTAATTATCCTGATTAACTATGACAATCATTTGGCTTTGGGATGTTTACATATCTATTAAAGGGTAAACTTGTCAGATGATTATATTCTATTAATATTTTGTGTAATATTTAAAATGCATGTAATTATGTGTAACTGAATAGAAGTTCCAAGTATTTAACATATTAATTATTATATATAATAATTTTTAATTGTAATAACTGTAAAGACAAGGAAAAAGTGGAATATTGTCGTGGTGGTTAAGGGCTCAAGAGGCTTAAATAACCATTAAATAATAATAATAACTGTAAAATTTCTAGTATTAAAATATCTTTTCTTTTTAAAAGGCTGGAAACAATCAGAATGTTATGATGCATCATCATCCAATTTTTAATCGCTTTTGGTCTCATTATCATCAATCTTGTCATTGGTATAAACAACATTTACATATTAAGCATTCATTACATCATTGGAATTTTGACAACAAACCATATAAAGAAGCATATTGTAATAGAAATTCCTGTGATGAATCACAAAGTTACAACTATTGCTATGAAATGCAGCAGTCAGACAAAAAAGAGGACACTCAAACAACTACAGAGGAGGAAAGTTTCGAATTTGAAGTTAGTGAAGAATTGATAAAATTCTTAGAAGAAACTGAGAAGCATCGTCAAAATTTGAGTGAGTGAATAATAACTTTTATGTTGACAACAATAATTCAAATTTTATTATTATCTGATTTAACAAAATGATCAACAATTTTGTTAATCACTTTGGATTAACAATTTTATGATAAACTTATTTTTCTAGAAACTGTGAAAAACAAATCAAAGAAAGATAAGAATGCTGGTAAGTTATAATATTTTAAAAATTATTTAAAAAATAGAGAGATCATTATAAAATATAATTTAATTTCAAGAATAATATTTATTTGGTATTACATATCTTCCTATTACCAATTTTATTTCTTGATAGCACTGTTATATAATAGTCATAAATTTAATAAAATAAAAAATAACCAGTCATTTTGGTTTTCCTCATTGGTTAGATGGATATTATTCCTGAGATTAATTGACTGAATTGAAAATATAAAACATTGTATCAGCTTAGAAATAAATTTTAAAATATAATTAAGTTAATGAATTAAAATTTAATATTTTAAAAACACAATTAAGTAACACAACTTTATTCTCAAATACTAGCTGAGATCCCTTTTGTCAAACAACATCAAAATTTTACACATGTGAAGGAAATAACACTTCAGTGTTGTGTTTTTAGCCAGCTGGTGCTAAAAACGGGACAAACTTTTGCATCAACCCAATAGTTTCCAGCCGTTCTGGAACCTCATAAATTTTAGTTGCTCTTAGGCGTGCGTGAGGTAAGCATTACTTTTTCAAGTGTGCTAAACTTCGTTTTTTTAGTTTTGTTATGTATACTGTACATTTAATCAATATGACACTGAAGAAAGATAAAAGTGACAGTGAAAATAGAAAACGTTTTAGTGTAGCATTAAAGAAAGAAATTATTGCAAAATACGAGAATGGCATTCGTGTTTCTGACATAGCTAAAGAATATAATGTGGCAAAATCGACTATCTCTACAATTATTAAAAACAAAAAAGCATTTAAGGCTGCTGAAGTGGCTAAAGGAGTGAATGTGATATTGAAACAAAGATCTAAAGTTTTAGATGAAGTTGAAAAACTGTTGCTAATATGGATCAATCTTGCTGGCGAGTGTTAGTGAAGCTATAATTTGTGAAAAAGCTAAAAATTTATACAATGACTTGTTGACCCAGACACCCAGTACAAGTGGAGACAGGCAGGACTTTAAAGTGAGCCGAGGGTGGTTTGATAGGTTTCGTCGACGAACTGGCATTCACAGTGTCATAAGACACGGGGAGGCTTCAAGTTCAGATGAAAAAGCAGCAAAAGCATTTGTAGATGAATTCGCAGAGTTTGTAAAAAGTGAAGGATACGTCTGGAATCAAGTGTTTAATTGCGATGAGACCGGTCTTTTTTGGAAAAGAATGCCTAGACGAACGTACATAACCCAAGAAGAGAAAGCACTTCCCGGGCACAAGCCCATGAAGGACAGACTCACTCTTTTATTTTGCGCTAATGCAAGTGGTGACCTCAAAATCAAGCCACTTTTAGTCTACAACGCTGAAAATCCCCGTGCCTTTAAGAGCAAAAATGTGATAAAGTCCAAACTGCCTGTACAATGGAAGGCAAATAGTAAGGCATGGGTAACTCGGACTTTATTCATGGATTGGCTCACAGAAGTGTTTGCTCCTACTGTTAAAAATTATCTTCAGGAAATGGATCTTCCTCTTAGATGTCTTCTCTTAATGGATAATGCTCCAGCACATCCACCAGATTTGGAGGACAACTTGGATAGTGAACATGACTTCATCAAGGTCAAATTCCTTCCATCCAACACAACTCCATTACTACAACCAATGGATTAGCAAGTGATTTCCAATTTTAAAAAGCCAAGGCACTGTTTACCATGTGTTTTCAGGTTACCAATGATACCGACTTAATTCTTAGAACTTTTTGGAAGGAGCATTTTAACATCCTGCATTATATCAACCTTATTAACAAAGCCTGGAGTGAGATCTCTCACTGCACTTTGCAATCGGCCTGGAGGACACTTTGGCCAACTTGTGTCTCAGAGCGAAACTTTCAGGAATTTGAAGAAGAGAGCTCTCCTGATGTGCATGAAATCGTATCCATTGGCAAGAGTTTGAGAGTAGAGGTAGATGATGCAGATGTGGAGGAGTTGCTGAAAGACCATCAAAAGGAACTAACGACAGAAGAGCTGGTTGCCATGCAGGAAGAACAGATGAAAGTCTTACAAGAAGAGCATTCATCATAGGAAGAGGCTAGGGAAGAAATCACCAGTGCTGAAATCAAGGAAATTTTCAGAAAATGGAATGATGTGCAGGAATTTATCGAGAAGCACCATCCTAACAAAGTTGTGGCTAATAGGTTTATTAATTTAATGAACGACACTGTGCTAGCGCATTTTAGAAAAATTTTGATTAAGAGAGTAAGACAATCAACTTTAGACCACTTTCTTGTTCCTTATCAAAAGAGACCTCGACACAAAGAAACTCCTGATGCAGTGCTACCTGATATTTTTATGGAGGGGATTCCTCTTCCAAGCATTAAGCTCCGTAGAAACAAAGGTATGTACAGACGCAAGACGTGCTACTTTATTAAATAAAGTGTACATATTTGTTGCTGTAATGATAGATACTACGTTTTCTTATATTTTCATCAAAGAAAACCCATTTTACAAATAAAATTACAAAAATACTGACGGCTAGAACGGATTAATTGTATTTGCATTAATTTCTATGGGAAAAATTGCTTCAGTTAACTTGTGGAACGGATTACGTTCGTTAACCGGGGTTCCACTGTAATTATTTTATTAACAACTATCTGTACCTGGCCACACATTGCTGTGGTTCAAAATGTATCTATTATAAATGTATAATACACCCCACGGGGGAGAATTTTGAAAAATCCCTTCTTAGTGTATACATTCTCTTGATGTACCCTATTAAAACACAATCAAAAACACAAAAAACTGCATCTAAAATAGTAAAATAGAAGCCGAGTTCTTCACGGTCAGCCTTAATCCTGTCCCTCTCCCCTGTGGGGGGGAATTTCGAAAAATTCCTTCTTAGTGTACATTCTCTTGACGTACCCTATTAAAATGCAAAAACCGCATCTAAAATAGAATAATGGAAGACCAGTTCTTTGCATTAAGCCTAATTATGTCTCTCCCCCCACGGGGGGATTTTGACATCTATATAATATAAAAACACAAGCGTATTTGAATGCAACGTTGTGTCAAAAATTTCAAAGCAATTGGTTAAGAACTTTTGGAGATTTAAGATTTTGAACAAATGAACATTTACATTTTTATTTATATATTAATAGATATCTGTATTTTCAATCAATATTTGAATTTTTGATTGAAAACTTTCTAATAAAATATATTTTTACAGAAAATCAAGATATTACTTCTGAAAATAAGATCTTAAAATCTAGACAACAAGCAATGCAGAGAACAAAACAAATGAAAAAATTATTTGGAAAATCAGCTGCAAAGATTCATGGAATGGAAACTGCAATGCAGTTAACATTTGATAGATACTGCGATTTAAAACAGCCAAAATTATGGCCAAATATTCCCTTAAGTTTATGAATTTTGATGTTTTTATGGTAATATTTTTAATCCTTAAAATTAAAAACAATTACATTTTATAAAAACAAATTATTTTTATGTAATTATTCTCTTTGTAAATTTTACTGGTTTTAAAAAATATTATGAATTTCATCAATTTCATACATAGATGAAATTGATGAAATTCAATTGATGAAATTGGTCCTTATGAGTATTGTTTCACTAAAAGTGTCTTCCAATATAAAGGACACTAGAGTCCTTTCAATATTGTAATAAATAGCTTTTCATGTTTGGTCATTATTTCTAAAATTGTTTTTAATTATGATAAGCATGATTTATAATTATTTAATGGTTCTAACCAAAAATTCAATTAATGGTAAAAATTTTTATTTTATATATATAAAATCACAATGTACAGATGGAAAATAAAATTTGATCAAATTTGATCTTTCTTCTGTACTAAGAGTTATATAAATTTTGTTTTTCATTTTATAAAAAATTATTTAAAAATGTCCTGAAACAAATTGGATTCTGATAACTACTTTTTAATGACCGGAAACTTGAACTTCCAAACATATTTTATTAATGAACTATTACTGAAGGTAGAATATAACATGTTACATGTGCTGTCACTATTATCTTCCATTGGAATGCATCATTTTTTAATAATTAATATATAAAATTAAAAATAAAATAGCAATGGTTAAGTTTCATGTAAAAAATATAACATGGTAATTAAAGTTCAATTTGTTTAGGTCATTTAAAGAACTTTTTTTTTAAAGTTATTTTTTAATAATATTCAGTCATTGCTGTTTTATTTTTACTTTATTTTATATTACATATTTGTTAAGAGTATTTCCTGGTACCATCAGAAATACTGATTTAAGTTTTGAAATTTATGCACAAAATACTTAAATATACAGCACTAATGAATTGTGATTGAAAAACTAATGACAAAATTATAGAACATGATTAGGTGTATTGAGAACAATCTCGACCTTTATTGGAAATCTGTTGAAAAATATCCCATGTCTCATCACCAATTCCATCGGTTCTAATATCTTTAAGTTGATATGTAATTTACTGAATTGTATAGTGAATTCCATGGACTCGTCGTTGTCTGTATTATTTTTCTACATATCCTTTCAATAAGCTTAAGTGCTGGATTTGTGGATGCCCCTTTTCTTCAGACAAGCGAGAAGTACAAGATTTAGCTTATCTGAGAAGTACTTTCCTTATCCGAAAGATAATGTCATTACAGTTCGAATTTATTTCCAGGCATAAAAATAAGGCAAAAAGAAAGCAAATCTCGAAGAAGCCATTAGGATGCCCATTAGATTTCATCAGAAAATATCAAAATACAATGACTTCACTTCGATTTTGACCAAGAAGAAAGCATAAACAGACGAAAAATTGAAAAAATTATTATAAAACAGTTTAAAAATTTCAAAATTTGTCACATTAAATTAATTAATTAATTAATTTATTCTTCTGAGGTTAAAAATTTACGAAGACGACGTATTAAAGCACATCTTACAAAAATTTTTGTAAAACGTGCTTTTGGAATCAAAGTGATCCAAGATTACTCTGATCATTCAAATCGTGTATACATTCATTCATTCATTTTGTTTTATTGGTACAAAAATAATTGTACATTCCCTGGTCCCGCTACACGCATTACCAGGGATAGAGTATATATACAATATTAAGTGGATATTAAATTAAGAAGTAATACAGAAAGAAATACAGATGATGATATAAGTAAGATAAAATAAATTAACAAATAAACAATAACAAACGAACTATAGCGATCTGATCAATCTCTATCCGCGTATACAAACGCCATCTAGGATCAACTGAATCGCGATCAAACTAATTCCAGCGGAGGGTAGGATCGTTCAGATCCAATAAAAAATATTAAAGATGGCGACTCCCATGGTTAAAGTCAAGCTGATAGTTGACAGCAAAGAAATATGTTTAACTTTCGACAATGAAAAGTATTTAAAACTTAATAAATGGTAAGCAAAGACATTATTAAAATATCAGATAAACATATAAAAAATAAGTGTCAAGAGAGAATTTTGTGAGATTGTACGGTAAGAATGCATGGCGTTCACTCCCGTTTCGCCATTATTGAGCAGTTTTATTTACGGAATAAATATGATTCGATACTACTAGTATACTTTCCACCAACTAACACACGGACGATAGAAGCGATCTTTATCACGTGACACAATGACTGCTTCGATCTTTCAGATCGATCCATTGAAACGAAAAGTATATTTACCCATGGAAATACTTGACTATTTTTAGAAGATAAATCATATAGTGGATGCAAAATACGAGATAGTGTTAAACGTAATTTTGAAGGTAAAAAACGAACAATGTTTTACATTAATTAATTAATTTTGGCAAACGTTTGCATTTTTGAGGTGAAAAAGAACCTCTAAGAAAAGGTCTTCATCAGACTGTTGTTGGATCTCGAAGGTGTGAAGACGCCTTTATTTTTGATATTTCTTCTACAATGATGTCGTCCCAATAAGTTATATATTTATATTTGTATTAATCACGTAATTCGTATAGTTTTAAAACTGCATTCTGATCGATTCCAATAATATATTGCATTCATTTTTTAGATTTAAGTTATGGATAACATTTTCCAATTGTAAAGTTTCTCACGGGACATATTCCTACGCATGCAGCTTTGTGTACTTATTCATAACCAAGTACGCAACGATAAAAAAGTTCCTGTCCTGTGAAAAATTTTGGAAATGGAAAATTTAATCGTTAAAAGTTACATTCATTTTATGAAATATTACATCAAAGTATTTCATTTCAAAATATTTCTCATATACTTAGCATGATATTATTTTGGCTTGACCACATTTTTTTCAAGATTGGGTTTCTTTATATCGCTTTATTATGCATAAAAATATCGAACATATGTTTTTGATTGATTTTTTTTAAACATATGTAGTGTCTTAGATACTGGACACCGTTGTTAGTTTCCTCCAACGCTGTCAGATTACTTGAAGCCGAAGTTCCGCTCATTCGATCAAAATTTCTGCTTATTTTCGCTGTTTCCGTAGCACTCATAATTTTTACAGGGACTGGTTGCTAACCCGACGACCAACCTTCCTCCTTTTGCACCCGGGCTCAAACAGTTAAGAGTACAGAACCCAAAGAACAAAATTGGCAAGAATATGTGTAACGACTTCAAGAATTATTTTCAATCGTCAGTTATATATTTAAAGACATACGTGTAAAATTGGTAAATTGAGAATACAAGTAAAATGTGTACAATATTGACGAAAGTATACAGAATAAAGTAAATAAATGCGTTTATAAAACATTTGTTTTAGTCTTCGGTATCACAGTTCACTGCATTGAGAAGGTACTTCCAAGCTGCTGATAAACAAGCTACATCTTTATGATTTATGCTTATACAGTACAGTAGAACCTCGATTATCCGCCCCCGATCAACCGACCGTCCTAGTCGTCAAATTTCAAATGTCCGCTAGTGATGTGGCGCTACAATAGCGACGATTATTATTATAAAAAATTTTTGTTAGGCTTAACATCGATGAAAATTCAACGCAAAATAGGTTAATAGTTAGTATACTAATTACATGGGATATAATAATATACTACACTAATAATGGAATTTTTCATACTTTTCGGTTATCCGACCAACCCGAGTCCCCAATTAGGGCGAATAATCGAGGTTCTACTGTATATGTATATTTTTCAAGAGTTTTACCTGTTTGTTGATCACTTATTTTTTAAAAGCTTAGTTTCGTTAAAGTTAGGTATATTGTCTGGGATGGTGGCTTTTGTAGCTAAGGCTGCTGTTCTTTTGCCGTTACGTTGGTCATATTGATGTTCTTTAAGTCTAGTGGGAAAATTTCTTGAAGCGTATCCTATGTATTTGCTTGTTTTCTTTTCCAGGCCTCCGGTATCTCGTATACCCCATGGGCCGTGTCAAGATCTATTGGGTCTTTGTCCTTACGTAATTGTAGATAATTTTGTTGCGCCTATATGCAATATTTTTGCTCGACCTAATGGTTTTTCTATAGGTGTTATAATTTGTCACAGGGGTGATTAAGGATGGCGTTTAGATTTCTTGCGAGCTCTGGTGTTTTAAGTGTTAACCACTAAACTAATAGTACCAATGCCCTATGCCAAATTGTTAATCTTTATCATATTACGCGATGCCAATACACACAATAGGAATTTTTTTGGTTTTTGGATTCAGGTCTCAAAACGAAGATTGCAAAAAGTCCAGGATCAAATTTGACACGATTCCAGTACTTTCCCTTATGTATACATAACAGCAAGGAAGATAAAATTACCGAAACGACTTTAAACGAATGGCATTTTTACTGCATTAAAATATTAACTTTTATTAGTACATTTTCAATTATTGAATTAATGCATTACCATCAAGGGACGGTTGGTTGTGCTACATGTGGCGTTTGAATGTGTAACACCTAATAGAACCAGTTTCCTAGTCCTCCAGGAAGGCAATCGTCCATGTATTATTTACCTTCTATCATTCTCGTAAAAGCCTCCAGTTTGACTTATCAGTACTTCCCCAAAAGGCTTCAGTGGGGAAGTACTGATGTCAAAAGAATTGCAAGGGTTAGATGTATTTTACTTGTATTGATATTCTAAAATGTTTTATATTTATAATTTAGTTCTTATATTAAATTTTGAAAGTAATAAATTAATTTTTTTTAAATTCTATGATTGAACTAAGAAAACTTTACTGTTTTTATCCTCAACTAATTTTTTCTTATTACAAGTTGACAAATCTTCCATTGAAGTATTGTGTGTATCTATCTATGTAACAAATTACACAAAAATCATTTAAACACTTTTATTTCATCTTAATGAAACTGATTTAATCAAATAAGCCAAAGCCCATATCTTCATCAGATTCACTTTCTTCTTCCACTTTCTTTTCCTCTGGTTTTGCTTCCTCCTCAGCTTCAGCTACCGCACCTGCACTGGTTGCGGCAGCGACTGCTGCAAATTTGCTCGGATCTTTCAAAAACTCCTTTGCCTGCAATTTATCATATTATTACACAAAAAATCTTACTTGATTATTCTCATTTACAATTAAAAGTTATTAACATACCATTTCTGCTTCTTTGAATGTGATATCTGTCTCAACAGCAATGGCAATTAGATTGCGGAGACCGTTGACAATGGAATGTGGTACAGAAGCCAAAGTGGGATAACCAATTGCAAGAGAAACGGCGGCCACGTTTCTGACACCATCAATAAATTTTGCTCGAAGATCTTCACTTGTTATGTCTAATATTTCTGGACTGAACACAGTTCCAGAATCATATACTAAAAAAATTTACATTAATTAATAAAAATTAGACATTATAATAATAGTTAAAATGTAGCTTGTATGGTCTCTCTTCCCAATCACAGTGATTTGGGAAGCTAATGGAATATACACACTTTCTGCCCTCGCCAATCTGTAAAACAGAATGGGGACAGGTTTAATTTTCAACACCGTGGCATGGGAACACACTGCATAAAGAGCAGCTCCAGCGCCACAAAAGGTAAATGAACGAGTTCAATTTAACCTTAGGTGTTGGTAAAATTAATTAATTAAAAATACTAAAATTTACCTTGTCTAATTTTCAAACCATAGGTGAAAGGTGATACATTCAACATGTTCAATAATGTTGCTTCAGATGCACCTACTTTATCTTCCTTTTTAATTAAATGAATTTCATTCTATTTGAAAAAAAGAGTAAAATAATTAAGACACTGAATATAAGGTACATTAATTAAAAATATTTTGTTATTCAATTAATACTTAACTCTTGACTACTGTAGTATACTGATATAATGTGGTCTGTGGGGCAAAATTTCATAAACACCTCATATCGTAACTTATGACAAAATTAATCATAAGTTGCCAGATGAAAAGTCTCATATTCACAAAGCACATAGCAAGCTATGATATTGTAAAAAGCCTCATAATTACTACCTCTAAGAGCTCGAAGTCTGTGTACTGATGGTTGAGTGTTTGGTTCTATTGATAGATAAATCAATTTGATCAGTTTTTTTATTATTTCTTCTACACTTTTATGATTTGAAACTTCTAAGATGTTATCAAATGACAATAAAAATTTACAGAATTCTTCACTGTGGAATTAAAACTGTTTATAGAATGTCGCCCAAAAAATCTTATTCATTATAATTTAATATTATCTTCTTTTAGCCAGAAAACTATTAGTTTGTCAATTTATTTCAAACTTCTTCAATATTACTACCAGTTTCAATTTCTGGTAGATTTAGTTCTACACCTAGATCAGTTAAATTTTTAGGTATCATATATTATACATATAAGTAATTAATTCTAAAGAAATAAAATTCTAAAAGAAATGTATTCCTATTAGCTCTATTAAAACTGAAGCAGTCACTAGTGATGTCATAAGAGACACACGCGTTAACAATTCCTTCTGTTTTATCGTAAGTGCTGCGATGTGTTCTGTGAATATAAAATATTTAGTTTCTCATAACTTTACAATATTGAGAGAGAGATACTATGTCATATCTTAAAGAGACATTTATGAATCTGAACCTTGGTCTGTAAATCAGCATGAACCATGCTGTATTGAATGTACAGTAGAGCGTCGATTTTCCGAAAGTCAATCATCCGAAAGAATTCCACTCGGCAAATTTAAATTTTCGCCAGTGCTGTGGTGCTTCAATCTTTGGCTATGTCTTGGGCTACTCAAATATTTTACGTTTTTGATACTAAATTAACATCTGAAGTATAAATTTTTAACAATACAATAGTCTTTGTTAGGCTTAACATCGACGAAAATTCAACGCAAAGCGACACGAAACGGAGAAAAATTTCAATATCGGATACGTTAAATTATTTTTTCGTACATAAATCGGTTATCCGAAATATCAGTTATACGAACAACCCCCAGTCCCCAATTGATTCGGAAAATCGACGTTCTACTGTATATATATTTTGCTATAGGGTAGATAAAATGTAAATTTTTAGTTTCCAAAAATAAAGATTTCAACCAAATCTGAAACTTGAAATTGGGGGCTGACCATTGACCGATTATGAGAAATTTTTGTATCATATTGGATGTAGTGTATTAAAAATTTAACATTTTTCTGTCCACAGAATGATTTAGTTACATCTAAATGATACACAACTTCATATAGACAAAACTTATTCTTAATCAAATTAATTACCTATGCTTCCATGGCATCCTCATGCTACATGCTATCTATCTGTGTAAAAATTTTCCCCACTTATCACACAAGTCCCCAAAAAACTGCTGCCTTAAGCATGATCACATACATTATGTGCAGCCATGTTAAATTTTTGTTGATGTTAAGCCCAACAATAATTTTTCAAAGTAATAATCATGGCTACTGTATCATTAAAAATTATTTTTTATTTTGCACAAACAAAATAAATATATTGAAAATTATAAAAACAAAAAAAATTATATTTTGAACTGAAAATGTGTTAAATAACTACCATTTCAATCACTGGAATTCAAATCAGAATTACACAATCCCAAACTCAAGTGTAATTCAGAAATGAGCAAATTCCAGTAACAAGATAAAAAAAAGTGTGATATTTATAAAACTAAAAATTTATTCCTTACCAGAATTTCAATAGTTCCTTTTGAGATCTTTGTAGGTATCTGCAATGCCTGGAAAAATGATGTTTTTTCTGGTCCAAGACCAGTATTTTGTGGCTGCAGGATTACATCACAAGGAGCAATAGCTCCAGCTCTTGCAGGTGCTTTCACCTAGAAAATATAAACCATATTTTAAATTATTCTTAAAATATAATTTAAACTATTTAAATGAAACTATAAAAAATCATTTAATAATTAAATTCAACCTCCAAAATTGAGTAAACAATATGAAGAAAATTTATAATTTAATATTTATGCATTTTCAAATACTAGAACTTCATAATTCATTGTTTCAATAGATTACTGTGTACTCTTATATCATTTACTAACCTTATTTTCCATTATCTTATCTCTAATTTCCACCAAATCTTCTTTAGTGAACACAAATCCAACATTGCCTCTTATATGAGGCAACATTCTAATTAAAAAGGAAAAGATTTATTGTTAGTAAACTAAATCTTTTAAAAATAATTCAACATATAAATTGGTAAATATTCAGACAGCCAATTGGCATTTTTCTGTCAACTTTAATTACCTATGTCAGTGGGTTCCACCATTTCTGGTTCTGACAAACAGTAAAAAAATCAAGTATATATGATCATCATTATTCCATAGAAAACAAATTTCAGTGAATATCCCTCATTTCTTTTAGTTTAAATCTAATAGCATCAATAGCCCATATATAGAAATGAGCAATTATTTATTGTGACATCATCACAATGCTGGGCTGCAATTTTTAATATACAGGGTGATTCAAAGACAGAAATTTAAAAAAAAAATTAATAACTCACAAACTATTTACAGTAAGATGATGTGGTTTTCATAGAAATGCTTAGAAACTGGATTTTTTTTGTGTAATAAAAATTTTAGTACCAAACTAGTTATATTTCTTTATTTCTTGCCATAGATGGCCCTTGATAAGATTACATAATTTCTGAAGTTATTAGAGCTTACACTAAAAGAATAAAAAGAAAAAAATGTTCTAACAAATTTACAAATGATTTCAGTGCCATATATGGCAAGAAATATCACTATTTTGGTACTAAAATTTTTATGACACCTAAAAAATCCTGCTTCTTTCTAAGCATTTTTCTGAAAACCACATCATCTTACTGTAAATAGTTTGTGAGTTATTAATTTTTTAAAATTTCTGTGACTTTTGAATTACCCTGTATTTTTAATGTAAAATATATGCTCTCCACCTTAAATTAGTAGTGTCTTGCCCCCCTGTACACAATACTTTTCTTTTCACAAGTTGTGCTGGTCATCTAACTACTTTCAGGGGGAAATTTTTGAAGTGAAATAACAAGGCTTTCAGTCTGCATCAGAAGTTTGTATATAGTTAATTGGGGTCACCCCTCCCTAAGCTTTTCGTATCTGGTCTCGATGTTCATCTATCTAACTACATTAAGGAAAGACAGACAGACAAACGACAGTGGGAATATAGGTCTACAATTTTTTTTTTTTCAAATTGCAGCCAAATAATCCTGAAGTTAAAATTTTTTGATTTATCCAGTCCTAAGATATAATGCCAAATGGATAAGATAACACAGAATTTTGTAATAATTTTTTTTTTTACTTTTTTGGCTCATGGGAGTGTCAACAAATGTTAAAAGCTAGAAGAGATCAAAATTGATCATCATACTTTCCTGTTATATTCTATAATGGGAAAGTAAAAACATATGATGATAATTGATATGTAATTGCAATTTTAATGCAAATAAACTAACAGAAACTGGAAGTTTTAATTTTGAGCAATTCTAACAAAATTTAATGAAAAGCAATGAAAATTTTGGGATATTCACAAGACACACAAACACAAATGCACTTTACTTACTTTTCTAAAGCAGGACTGTTATCCAGATGTCCACGTATTGCTTTCCTTATCATTGTATTCTTACCCATCAACAAAACGGCATGTTTTCTGAGGGAGTGACGAATGTGTTGCATCTGTTTTGATCCAACATTATCAACTCCCACAATAAAGCATTTTGGGTAATCATCAAGAAGTTGCTATAAAGAAACAGGATTATGGATTATATCAATTTACTTTGATTTTCTTAATTAAAAGTTGAAATTTTTAATGAAATTATTTGCAATCAATCAATATATTTACTGCTATGATATGGTAACAAATTTTAGACAAGTTCTAAACATAGCCTAATCATCTACAGCATCATTTAACTTTATAAATGTAGCAAGGAGTAGGTGCATACTTATTTAAAAATACTAGAACTAACTCATTTAATGAAACAATTCTCAATTCTAGTGCTTTTAAATTCATAATTCATTAATGTGAATATTTTATCACAAACTGGCAATTTTTAATCTACCTCACAATTTACACAACTATACAGTATTTTGCCCATTCACATAGCAGTTTTTGGGAAAAATATTGCTTCAGTGTCATATTCTTTGGATCTAGCTCTCTATTTGATTATTTCCTTTCTCAAGCAAGCTGGTATAGGAAATAAAATATCTGCACAACATATTCTTAGTTGTATAGTAATACTAATATATAATAAGAATACAAATTTTTTGTGTTATGCATAAGTCAATATAGTTCTAGATTAACACTTAAATTAGAAGAATTAGCATATGGTATTTATTATACAGAAAACTACAACACAATTTTAGGCTATTAATTCAATCAGAAAAATTGTTCCTCTACAATCCAACTTACATATAAGCCTCCAGAAATTCTTAAACATTAACTATTTTACACATTTATATAAAAATAATGTATATTTTCAATACTTACAATAAGTTTCATAAAATATGCACTTTTCCATGCTGCACGGTCCTCCCTGCCCATCTTGTGATCCAAGGATTACTATAACAGTATTTTAAGGACTAGAAAAGTAAATAAATAATTAATTAATTACCAACCAATCATTTATTAAAATCCTTTGCTTTTATATTAACAAAAGAAAATAAATTTTATTCTAAAACTGAACACAAAGATGCTGACCACCAAAAGCAAACATTATTATTGCTGTTCATCGGGTTGAAGTATCTACCATTGTTAATAATGACTTTATAACCTAGTTCAAAAGAATGGGTAATCATTTTATATAAGCCAACATACCAATTATTGTTCCTTAGACTGCTGTTAACATGACAATATCAATAAGTAATGATAATTTATTTTTAATTGCCATCACATATTTGTTTACTGACAATAAGCAAGCAAAAATGAAAATCTGATCTACTACCAATAAACTGATTTTTTTAAAATAATCATTTCAAAAAACTTTCCCAATTTTTGCAAAACCACCTGCAACCAGTGACTCTCTATGAGCCTTCTTGTATTATATACTTTCTCCTCAATTTTGTTTTTGTCAATTTCTACTAGATGTTAGTCTTCTTACTTTTCCGACATTTTGCACATGACAGCATGCATACATCCTGGCAATAACTAACAGTTTGAAACTATGCTGATGGAAGTGATCATGCTCAAATTCTTATACAGCTTATTTGTATGAAACCAGAAGTAAAAACCACATAATTCTTTTATCCCATATTTTGCAGCTTCAAACTAAGCTCTTTACTCATATACATATTAACTAACTAGCTTCCCACAACTCTGTTACTTTTCGGACAAGTCCACAGACCAGTGCTGATCTGTTTAGTTATTACCGGCTGTGACAATACTGCATTTAAAATTTCACAATTTTACAGGTTACATTAATTTTTATTTAGACTATATACAGAACTATTTAAAACATCTTTAAAGAAGCTGTTATTCTATTATTTCCAATTATTTTTATTGTTTAAACATCTAGTGCTAGGTTGGACCAATTATTGAAATCGGGTCTTGAAATTTACTTGAAAACAGTTCACAAACCCTTTTTAAAATGATTACAACCATATTTTGTTGTATTTTCCTACCACTTCAGTCTAAAAGTTAAAATTTAGTCAAACTCCATTTTATAATTATTTCATTTCACACACTGGTCTGCAACAGATTGGAATGAGAAAACCTGGTCAGTGAACACTAATGTGAGAAGCACTGCTCTAACATATGTTAGATCTATTGTTTTAAATAAAATATTTAGTTTCCAAACAGAAAAGTCAGTAGTCTATATGGAATTGGTTATACATCTTATGTATAACACATAATTTACATAAGACATAACTTTAAATTTCAAAACAAAACAATTAGTTTTATATATATCTGTAAAACAGTATATATGAGATGCAGTCAAAAAATCCCAGGACTGGTGACATGATGCTGCAGTCATGTGCTAAATGCGTACAAACTACGATGCATAATAGACATCTTTATTTAGCTTTCCACCAATTTCATGGCATTATCTATGTACTTTTTGTTTCTTGCTATTCATATTAAATCCATGTTCTTGTCAACTTGCAATTTTCACTGCCTTGTAAAATGAATTCTTTTAAGGAACAGCATGTGTGTGAAATTTTGTTTCAAATCTGACAACACTGCAACAGAAAAGAAAGTGATTACAGGAGACAAAACATGGATTTACAGCTATTACCACTGAAATCAAACAACACATACCAAGTGAGGTGCAATCTCCAGAGCATGCTCATTGTTTTTTTTGATAGGGAGAAAATTATTCTTCCGAGAATTTTTTCCACAAGGCCAAAATGTAAATCAAAAATTTTATATGGACATTTTGAGGCACTTAGTTGTATTCTTCAATTTATATATGATATTTTCATTTGCTTAAATTTGTCTAAGGGTTTCAAAAATTTAATCTTTTAACTTGATTGCTTGTTGTTCTCCCTTTAATGTTTTAATGTAATAACTTTTTAATTTAATCTACAAAAAATAAAACATAGCAAGTCTTTCAGATTCATTTACAGCACTATACCAATAACAGTGAAACTTAATTTACAGTATAAGAAAGCCAAAATAAGAAGCTAGGACAAGGAAGAAATATTGTACAATCAGTTCTCATTAAAGAAAACAGGACAAAAGGCACAAAACATCAAAAAGTTCAATACTCTAAAATCCAAGAGCAAATACATGAGAACACATAATAAAATCTCAAATGACAATGTTTGCATTTTAAAATTTTAACTGTACAGGAATGTCTCCAATTCTCAAACTGTTATACTACGTTCGCACACAATCCATGACTCACTTCAATCTTGATTGTAACTGTTGCCAGTCGAACTGTTCACATAGACAGTCTGCTTGAGAACATAGCTATTATATACAATGATAAAACTGATATAACTATGTGGTAAGCCATGAACACCAACAAACAAAATGGAAGTTTTGATTAGAAATAAATACTTTTTCTTGCCATATATCTAATAATAGACAGATGTCATTGTCTCTCCAAACATTTTTTATTTCTTTGTTGATAGCCCAACACGTGTTCCACAACCATCTTGTATTTTCTCACATGTGTGAGATTATGGGATCTCTTATGAACGGATCCAGTTTCAAGAACTCTCTTGAGTCGATCACAATTGAACCTGGTTTCAGTCAAGAGGTTGCACCACCACAATTGCCGACTTTTATCACAATCTAGATTGAAATGCTTGGTGTGAACGGGGTATAGAGCTAATGGAAGGAACAGCAAAACCAGATTGAGGCACCTCTAGCGGTGACACCTGGTAACAGAATTGGGGCTACAAAGGCAGTACCAGTATTGTTCCACCGAGTACTATTCATGAAATACTAATACCTTTCCTTTTAAAACATTCATTTTTATTTTATATTTCTATATTTTTGTACTTTACTTTGGCAGTAAATAGATGTTTTTATTGCTTCCTCATTCAAGTACAGCAGTTGAATGTATTTTTTGCAATTAAATTTAATAAAAACTAAACTACAAAATCAAGTTCATACCGATACATGTGAAACAATGTTATTAGCAAAGGCATCAACGATAAAATGTTACACTTGGAAACCATCATCTGCTTCAACCATAAAAAACATTCTAGTGAGGAAGATTCTGATGATGATCTTACCAGTGATTTTTCAATGTGATAATTTTGAAGTTTGGTACTTCATGTTCATTACTTTTGTTTCAACATTTCGTTCATTTGATTGTTGTTGAGGAATAATAGCACTCTTGCAATAGCCTATATGAATTTTGTATGTTACATGTAACACTAAATATATTTTAATTATATATATATATATAGCAGTTTACGATCAAAGTACAGTTGACCCTCCTATAACACTTGATTATTCCGTTTTATATGAATTCCATGTTATACGAGCCACTTAGATTTTGCAAATACGTGGGCCATTCACAGTCCGGCACATGTATTTGTAAAATCTAAGTGACTCGTACAACATGGAATTCTTATAAAACGGAATAATCAACAGTGTTATAGGGGAGGTCGACTGTAATGCCAATACAGTCACTAGTGTTGCCATCTTTTCAAAATTGCTGACCCAGGTGGCAGGTGAGGTTTGTTCAAACAGAGTTCCTGATGTATGCGCAATGTCATTTTACAATGCGAGAATAACATGCACGCTGGTTCTAAATCAGTTAAAGTGAAGGACTAGGGACTTGACTAAATTAAGAAAGAACAGACACAGATGACTTAATTCTATTGACTATTAGAGACGTGTATGATCGTATATGAAAAGAAAAGAAAAGAAAAAAAAACCTGACATGCTGCGTGTCACACGTCGGCATAAACAGACTAACATGGCAGAATCGCAGATGAGTTTCAGTGAGTAAGAGAGTTCTTTCGCTGTTAAAATAGTATAAATTTGTATTGTAAAAATATTTGCAAGAACTTTGTTTCATCATAATTTCTACAAAATTCCCGGACAAAATTTATAGTTCACGTGGACAGTGAGTCAATTCCTGGACTGTCCAGGTGAAAACCAGACAGGTGGTAACACTAAGAGTCACTTCTCGACTTATGATGGGATTTGGTTCTGCAACTTCGGACGTAAGTTGAGGTGGTCGTAATTTGAGAAGTGACTGTAGATCATAAGGACTGAGCAGTATTAATATTCTGATATTTATTATACTCTTAATTTTGTACAATTAAAGGGTGGTATGAAAGAAGTAAACTATATATTCATTGCATGATAAATAATGAAATTTGTAACTAACCATATATATAAAGGAGCTTCAATAAGGACCATAGCAGTAACTAATAGTATTGTATTAACAGGGAAAACTTTTACCTTCATTTCCTCAAAATACTAATTTTGCTTCTTATTCCTTCCTTCCACAGATCTCTCAAACTCAAATATCACATCATATGCCAATTAATATCGGTCAGATTAACAAAATAATATATATAAAAAAAAAAAAAAATTTACTAAATTTAAAATAGAGCCAACTAAGATTTTATAACAGGAGATTGGAGATTGGTTAGAATGCAATAAATCTTCATTATGTAATTAACCTCAGTAATTAAATTGCAGCCAGCCATTTCTTTCTTCCCAGGGTATTGTTCATTCGGGAATGAATAAAACTTTGTACCTGGCGGCACAGTAATATAGGTAACACTACAATTGACCACACAACAGTTATTTTTTGAAGTTTTGTGTGGCAGAAAGCTGTAGTTCATTATCACAGGAAAAAAATAAGCACTGTGTTTCAGTACATATCCAACCCAAAGATGCATGTGTTTTCCTGAAGCAGTTTTCTTTGCCAGAGTACAGGTGACACTCAACTCAGTTCCACTAGCTCTATTAGAGCAAAACCATATTCTAAAGGCTGTTATACACGTTACGGAAGTCCTTTGAGGATTAACCGTAATTTTTGTTTCTATCTATCCACCTTTAAATAAAAATAATTCTTTATACGTTGGGAAATATTTTAATAAGTTTTGTAAATTACTATGTTCGATCCAGCCAGTTATATCCAATTTTTTTTCGTCTTTTAAGTACCATCCTTTGAGGATTTCCGTAACGTGTATAACAGCCTTAAGACCACCATGTTGTACAGGGATTTCCCAGATTCTCGAACCTTGTACAGTACAAGGGATACTTGTATATTACTGTGTTTTAACAGAAGATTTTAAGACAATAGAACAGACCAAACTTTGATCATTTATAAAAACTTTCTAGGCCATTTGTATATTTATATACCAAAACTAATACCTTACATTAAAAAAAATTGAAATAAAAGAATGCTTATTTCTCAGTGATACCAACTCAATAGTGTTTTCAGCAATTTCTAGTATTCTTAATTTACAAAAAGTGTGACAAATAATTCTTTTATTTAATTGTTTGCTATATGAACAAAGATCTGTGTGATTCACCAATGTATCTTATTGTTGAACATGCTGAAACACATTTACTATAAAGAAAACAATCAATTTGATTTTATATAAATAATTATATAACTTATACACATTGATAACAATAAAATACCATTTTCAAATTAATTAAGAAACGAATATAATAATAATGTATCAACACAATAAGAACGTAACAATGGAAAATTTGATTCAAAAAATATTCTATATTTACAAAAATAAAATAACTCAATAATCAGATAAAACATAAGATTTACATGCAGACATGTTACATTAATTAAATAACACAAGAAAAAATAAACGTATAAAGAGATGGAAACGGATATAATCAGGAATACAAACCTAAACGTGCGTACAGCAACGAGAAGTATTCACAAATGACGTCGGAACTTCACGTTGCCAGATTCTACACACAAAGACGTTTCTAAAAAATTATTCGCCCAAAATACTTCAATCCCAAATATAATTTATATTAAAATGGTTAAAAGAAGCTGTAGTTTTAAAACAATCTTAAGATTATGAATTAATTCAAATTTAAAATTAAGGAAAAATTTAGAATGATAGAATTTATTTCCAAAAAGCAATTGTAAATATTTTGAATTAAAAAAAAAAACTCCACACTGTAGTCGTTTAGATACTTTTTGAAAACTCTTTCCGCTCTGTTGTTATTTAATAGGGCCTCTTTTAGTAAGCCCATTATGGTTTCGGCCAAACCCACAATGGGGCGGCCGGGTGGTGAGGGACGGGACCTTTTTCAGTTTAGAAAAGATGCCAAATGTCCTTTATTTCAAAAATAAAAAGAAATTTCCAGCTAATGAATATATATATATCTTCCATTAATTTAGAAAACAAGCAAGGCTTTATAAAATTCTGCTGGAATTAAAATTTCCGTCATTGAATTTGAATGTGAACTATTTTGAAACACGGATATGCATATGCGGTATAAGTTGGAGCGTTAATTTAACATTTGGCATTATAACTTAAAAAAGTTGGCAACATGTTTACTGCCCATTGGTCACTTTGTTTTCCATCCCAGTCTCTTTTTAGATGTGTTTCGTTCGTTCTAAAGCGTTTAATGTGTCTGGCTGTTTATAACATTCACTCTTTTAACTTGTGACTTTTTTGTTAAATCGTTATATATATACTTTTTGTGCTCATCACATCACATTTTATTAAGTGCTGTTCTACCTATAGATTAATTATGGAACCAACAAGAAATAAGATGAAACCATTATGCTCATGTAACAAAAGTTGGAATAAACATCGTGAATGGTTGGTGGCAACTACTAATCCACAAGAGTTAAAGTGTCAAAGTGTTTTCAAAATTGGATATATGAGTGCAATAAGATTTTATGCTGTATTATTGCTACATACTGCATAAAAATTCAGATTATCATAAGAATAAAAGCAGTGTGTTATCTTACAGTTTTTTTTTAAGTTACGAGTATCACTGATGTATAAACATTACTCATCAATTTTTATATCAGAATATGAACTTTAGTTTATACCTATGAGGCCATCCATAAATGATGTCACTCTAAAATTCAACAATTTAAGCTCCCTTTTCCCCTTCCCTCCCGTGTCATTTATTGTCACATTATGACATTATGTACAAATAATGTCACATTGTTTTTCACCCCTGACAAAGCTTTTGCATTATTACAATACATTTCATCAATTAATTCATTTCTGCTTTTTTGTGCACATTCAATTTATTCTACGAGAAATACTGGTAAAGCAATTATTTGGAATCTTTTTCACTTGCTGTAAAAAAATTTTTATCTATATAATTAACAAAAATTCATTTGAATACAAGTAAACGAATCATTACAAGAATTTGAATTTAAATTTTAATGGCGAAGATAAGTGAAAAGTATATTGTTACCAGAGCCTCTTCAGCCATCGGTCTTATCGACCGATGTTACCGCTTCCCGGGACGTGGACCCAGAGGTTGGATTTTGGGAAGCGTGTTCGTGTTGTGAAACGGTGTTGTTTATAATGCACGTGAATGGAATGGTTGGTGATTGGATGCGACGAATGTGTCGTTGTTTGAACTGTGTGTTTCAGCGTGAGGGATGTTGTTGTTTATGTGCGTGGATGTGAATTACTAAACTAATGTGAGTACGACAAGGGGGAAAAAAATAAAAACCCCTTGTCTTCTTACATCTAGATTAGTAAATTAAATTTAAGGTTTTAGTTTGAATGTTAGTATGACAAGAGGAAAAAAAAATAAAAAACCTCTTGCCTTCTTATCCTACGTTAGTAAATTGAAACTAAAACCTTAAATTTAAATGTTGTTAGTATGACAAGAGGAAAAAACAAACGAAAAAAACCTCTTGCCTTCTTATCCTACGTTAGTAAATTGAAACTAAAACCTTAAATTTAAATGTTGTTAGTATGACAAGAGGAAAAAACAAACGAAAAAAACCTCTTGCCTTCTTATCCTACGTTAGTAAATTGAAACTAAAACCTTAAATTTAAATGTTGTTAGTATGACAAGAGGAAAAAACAAACGAAAAAAACCTCTTGCCTTCTTATCCTAGGTTAGTAATATCCTTCAGAAATAGCAAAGGAAAAAGTCGTTCGCATCTCTTACGAAGCGACGCTTTTTCCTTTCCATCTTTGCCCACACCGAACGAGAGGATCCCACTCGTTGGAAAAGGGAGGAATGATTGAAACATTCTCCCCTCCCAGTGCAGCAAAGATGATGTCGTCAACAAGGAGACATTTCACCTTTCGGAACATGTTCGAATGACGAAATGCCTCCTCTCCGTTCAACGCGAAACAGAGAATGCTGTCGACATCCGCTATTCCCGAAGGCGATCCCGTGAAGGAAGAACCCTTTCCGCAATCGATGGAAGAGAGTTCCTCTCCCCGCTTAAAGGGGGAAAAGACCCTCTCTTCATCGATTGCGGAAGGAGAACGCCCTTCACACTTCTTCGTCTTCTCGGGCTGCAGCCAACGCCAAAACCGCCAGCTCTTCATTCTGTAAAGAAACAATATATATATATTAATGGGTCTCGGATATACTTAACGCAGAAAAAGTACAAGATAATACGACAGAGCTAGCGTTAGATCCTACCGGAAATTGCTAGAACGTTCGAACTGCATTTGCAGTAGAGACGACCGACCCGGAAAGAATAAACTCTCTTACGTGTAATTTGTATTTATTTGTACGACAGAAAAGTAAAGACACGCCGCACGTAGCCAAGTGCAAAAGGCACTCGATCTCGAGCCCAAGTCGTAATAAGTGTTTCGTCCTAGAGCAATTATCCTAACGTGCGTCACCTAAACGCAACGACGGCATTTAAGAGAGTTTCGTGCAAAGAAATTCCGTACGAGAGTCGACGAAAACACGTTTAAGTGACACAAAGCATTTGCAGAGGGTTACGTAAGTGTGGAACATGAACTGCACTCAGAAAAGACCGCATTGTGAAAAGAGACAAACAGCTTAAGGAAAAGAATTCATGTCCAGCCTGTATACATAACTCTTAAGTGTATTAAATGTGTTTTAAGTGTTACAGAGCTGCAGACAATTTAATTGTCGCAAAGTAAGCCATTGAAAAGCGTTGTAACTAATACATAGATTCAATAGAGAAGTCGGAGGTTAAAGGGCGAAATTTTTGACGTCCCGGATGTGTCGAAGGAACGTGTGATGCTTCAGAATACGGTCTCCGTTTATCCTTCGGTCCATCCGGTTTCGAGTGTATATATTTTAGTTAAAATTACGATACGCAATTCGTATTTAGAGTTAGTATTAACTAAGTTTTAATTGAATTTCTATAAATAAGATATTTGCAAATAATCCTTATTCTTTGATCGTGTTTATAAAATATAATCTAAATTAATTAATTACGAAAATAAACCAATGAACAAATACTTAATCCTTTGCGTCCGTCGTTTTCGGCGCTTCGGTCGCTTTCCAATGTGGCGGCTGGTTTAAAAGTCGAAAGACAGGCGTTTCGGATGGTAATTCAAACGAAAAACACAAGCGACGGCAGATTTAAACGCGAATATGCAAAGTCCGAGTCGGCCGATGTCGTCTCCGAGAGTTGGACTAAACGAAACGAAAATAAAATCTTACAACTAGCTAAATTCTAATTAAAATCTTACTTGGTGTAATGTCGGCGTCCACAAGTCTTCTTAAAACCACGTAAAAAAGGCAAAAAACACAGCAGAAACAAGAGCAAAGAGCGCACACGTCCGTCCGGCAAGCGAAAAACGTGCAAAGTGACGCAAAATCGTGTTGCAACAATACGCGTTTCCATAGAAACGGCAATTGTTGCGAGATTAGAAAGCTCGCAACGAATTCGAATGCGATTGACGTCACGGATTCTTTTTGAATTTTAAGGCTAAATATCTGCATTTTTCACGTTTCTATCCCCCGAGTGACGACGGATTGGGATCGAGAGACTCCCTACCACCCTCCGCCTTCGGTTTCCATTCTCCACAAGGGGTTAGAAGCGAGATTTTCTATAATCGAACGTCATCTTTACCTCGCCACCCCCAAAACTAGAAGAAATCCTCCCTCTCGTTCGTCCGGTATTTTCCGACCAAGTTTCCGATTGACCGACAGCGCAATTTTTACTGAATTTCGTAATATTTCGTTTATCCGACGCCATTTTAAGAGCGCTTACCTGACGTCATCGGTTATATTAAATATGCGTGTTATAGTTTAGTTACGTAAACGTTAATTAGTATATTAAATAAGCAAATTTTATGAATTCACCTGACCGATAGAAAATATCGTGTATGTATTTTACACGAAACAATCAAATATAGATCTTTCTATATTCAAACTGAGAAGAAGATCGTTCGTTTCAACAAATGTAACTGATTTTTATAAACAAAAATCTATCAATAGCAACGAGTTGCGTAACTTTCTCGGCTGTTGTGAGATTTTATTTAGAAAATAACTTCTATACTTTTAATTATAATAAATAAAACTGTGTGTGGCGCCATCTGTTATGAGATTTTGTTATATAAACTTTTCATATTTTTAATTATTATAAAAGCGCAAAAGGATTAATTTTGAGTAGAGAAACGAGTCTTATATATATAAATTACAAATGCTAGTAACGAGTAAAATCTTCATTAACCCCGACCCTCTTGAAATATCATACGTGACCCCGCTTTATATCCCTACCCTCTTGACTTTTAACCACCAAAGTTTAATAGCATCAATGCCTCTTATACACTAGCTATTTTGTCAAAGTTTATTTCTTAATCATTTCCTCACCCTGAGATATTAATAGAGGGAATGTGTGACTATCGGTCAAAATAATGAAATTTATGCAAGATTTTTACATTATTGAATTCAGGAAATCTTGAAACGAAAAAAATTAGGGTTTTTTTTTCTTTCGTGTATTTTTGGGGACGATATATCGGAACGGCCCAACCCCGAAAAATTCTTGGGGATTTTTTTGACCCGTCCGGATTCGATCTCGAGTTTTGTCAGAGCAGTAGGTTATTGCCTTGACCATTCGGCCGTTTCTAGGTTATGGTTGTACAATGGACTGATAATTTATTCACTTGAAACTTTTATTTGTAAGCTTCGAAATAGATCCTCAACTAGTTTTTCTTACGGTCAAAAATGAATGTATCAGATGAATATAATAAAACGTATTACTATATATGTATACGTATATACATACATACATACATTATTTATGCTTGTAAGAACATTATGGCTCTGCTCCGCACTATTTCACGGCATCCTCCAAGTGCCCCAATGTATGGGTGCCCCTACGCCTGTACATTGGGACACTTGGAGCTCAATTTAAAAGACTAAAATTCAGTTTCGTCACAGAATAAGTAATGAAAAATTCCGTGCTAGTGTTGCCACCTTTTTAAAATCACTGACCCGGACCAAGGACTTTAAACTACAAGGATAGCCAGATCCCGTATATTTGTTAGCGTGACCTTGGATCTATGTGACGTCACAGCAAGCCCTCTACTTCAACATGACAGATCTTTCAAATAACAAAATACGATAAAATATTAAATCATTTCTTAATTAATTATTAAATTACTACTAAATGTAAACTACTGTAGAATTTTCGGATTTAATAAGTGTACTGTACGTCAATAAATTTACAAGTCTTTTGTCTAATATTTATTTAACAAATTAATGAGCTATATTTTTTATTATGTGATTATCTTACTTAACTTTTTAATTTTTTTTCGACAATCACCATTTTCAGAAGGCATTCTTTTCAATATTTTATAGTTTTCTTGTTTAAGATTTCTATAATTAATTCTTATTATAGTTCTTAATTTACAAAAATCTTTTATTAAAGTAAAAGGTAAAACTGTTTCCACTGACTAATTCTGTACAACTCCGGGGCCTTTTTTATACGATTCATCGTGATATATTTCGAAATATTTATTCCATTCTATAATTTTTGCTAGCCATTCATCA